AGAAACCATGTTTTGAATTTTGAATTTTGATCTCTTCCTGGGCTAGTGATTGTGGCATGATATATTCTCACAATGCTGGGTGGCAGCACCCAGTCAGCCATGTGATCACAAGGGTAAACAACAGATACTTTACAGTGTGGAGAAACCATGTTTTGAATTTTGAATTTTGATCTCTTCCTGGGCTAGTGATTGTGGCATGATGTATTCTCACAATGCTGGGTGGCAGCACCCAGTCAGCCATGTGATCACAAGGGTAAACAACAGATACTTTACAGTGTACTGTGTTCAATAAATTACATGAGACAGTCAACACATTATTATAAAATAGGCTTTGTGTTAGATGACTCTGCCCAACTTTAGACTAATGTAAATGTTCTGGGCACTTCTAAGAACAAGCTGTTTTTTGGTAGGTTACGTGTATTAAATGCATTTTTCAGTTTCGATATTTGAAACTTACAATACTGTTATGAATAAGTGACCTTATAGTAAGCTGAGGAGCATCTGTATCAGAACTGAGACTCAATCATAGGCCGTAATGAATTTTAACCCATGCTTTAAATTAGCCTGTCCTTATGCATTTTGCTAAAGGGAGACATCTTCAAAATTGGAACATTAGTGCAAATGTAACTTTCAGATAAACTGGCCCTTACACAATTCATTTGCATAACATCTTTCATCTGGGTGGCTACTTGCTGAAGAAAAAAGATCTCCAACTTTGGAGACAAAGGGACCAAGGTGGTTGATATTCTGACCCCTTGAGCTGGTCATAGTATGAATCATTGGAAAAATACATTGCTGTTTTCTCATTTGTAAACTGAGTCAGTAATTTGTATTTTGAAGAAATTTTATACAGACAAATAAAACAAAGAATCTAATACAAAGTATGGCTGCAAGAAATCTTCATACCCTATTAACTCCCCGACAAATCTCTAGTTTAACATGGTTATGTATTATGTGCTAGCACATATTAAGGAATCAAAGACAGACAGGCATGGATGACTTTTTGGCTCATTTGCCTGTGTTCCAGACAGAAAGTCATCTGAAATGCAAATGCAGGAGTCTGTTAATTCATTAAGTGAAATTAACTATAAAGATTTGCCTCTTGAGGGAATACAAAAACGTTACCCGTTACAGCACTTCCTGCTTGACACTGTATGACATACATGATACACATGAAGGTGAGGTGCTCCCAGAAAGCTGTGGCTTCAGAGCAATTGGTGATCACATGAAGAGCTGATAGAAAAGGCACAGATTCACTTGAAAAGAGAGCATCGTAGAGGAGCCTCCAGTGCCTTCCATCCTGTCCCCACCTCCCACTGCTGATCCAGCCTCAGCTGCAGTGGACAGTTCTGAACAAGTCCACATTTAGCTCTGCTGACAGCACCACTGTCAATGGGCCTGCCAGGGTCTCTCTCTACCTTCTGCCCTGGGGACTTCTCTGATATCACATGAGCCCACTTGGCCCGTACACAAACACAGCCAGAGCTGCAGGGCTGCTAATGCTCTTGGTGGGACAGGACAGGAGACAAAAGGTACAGTGTCTTCACTCAGGTGGACAATTCTGAGAGGCGTTCTGTGTGAGGTCCTGATGGGCTCCATCTCCTGTTACCCCAACACTAGCTCAATATTGCACCTTTATCCTGGTTTCCTCCTCCCTATTCTCTTACCCCTACTTCCTGGGATCATTCTCCAAATAAACTACTTGCACCTAAGTCCCCATCAGAGACTTTGCATTTGGGGCAGACTAACCTATGACAGTGATGGGATGAAGTGACCATCTGAAGACCCTTCCATGGAAGAGAGACCTCTGTTTTTCTTTCATTTATACCACCATCCTTTCCTTCAAAAGTCTCATAATGACATTTATGAACTAATCTTTTCCAAGTTCATTTTGATTTATTTTGAATTCCCAACAGACTCACATGTGTCTCTGCTCCATTAAAGCTCTGAACTTCATTGGTAACTGGTTTTATTAAGTTTATGTTTTACAGATTTAGGGTCTGCTGGACTCAGATAACCATTTATTCCTTTTACTCACCTATTTGACATACATTCAATGAGTGTGGATGCAGAGTAGATCTAGGTTTTGTGTGGCATGAAGCTTACAAAATTTCAGGGAACTTTTTGTAAAAGAGAATACAAAATAAAAGAGTCTTGGAAATATCCTGTGCACGTGAGAAGGGCTGATGTTATTCTTCATTAACTTTATGGCAAATCCACCTCTAGCTGCTCACCATATGTAGGTGCTATCCAGGTGTCTGGGAAACACCAGCACAGAAAACAGACAGAGCTTCAAGATGAGGTGTATGTTTCAACGACAGAACATTTTGATTCAACTAATTAATTAAAAAGTAAACAAAAAGAAGATATTCCTGGTAAATGCTTATTTCCCCCAAAAGTTAGAGTTTTGTTTGGTATGCTAACATCACTGGTAGGTCATACCTTCTTTTCAGAACATTTCTCAGTGCTCTGGGATTCTAATTGCCTTATCCCAAAGAATTTGAGCCCCGAGATGGAAAGCTCTCCTCTTTTCTTACCATGACCCATCCATGGGCAATGGGATCCTTTGCTGTATGGCTCTTGGTCTCCTGGGACCAGGTGAGATCTGGACAAAGATGGAAAAGCCCTTTTTGAGCCTGCCAGGCCTCAGCCACAGCCTTTCCATGTGGGTGCTAAATCAACCTCCTCTTGGTTTCTGTGTCTGCTTCTGTGTCCTTTCTCAATAGAACATGATCGTAGGAATTATCCATTAAGACAATATCGGGATGTGTAGTCACAGGTAGAAACCTCACATTGAGATATGACCTGTATAAGACATAATATTTATTGCTACTCACTAAATATAAGGTTTGCACCATTGCACGTTTATGGCTCAATCAATATTCCCCCATTTGGTAGGTATAAGTCCTTCTGAATGAACACAGAATATTTTCATGTGACCCTGGAACCACCACACACATGTAGGCTACTCACTAAATATAAGGTTTGCACCATTGCACGTTTATGGCTCAATCAATATTCCCCCACTTGGTAGGTATAAGTCCTTCTGAATGAACACAGAATATTTTCATGTGACCCTGGAACCACCACACACATGTAGTTCTCAGTGAACATCTCATCCACACTCCTAATGAGCCTCGTCTTTTTCTCACAGAACAGTCATGGGGACTTAGTTGTCCAGTCCTCTGTGGCCTCACCTGAAATGAAGGGAGAAGTCATACCTGTATTAGAGTTCTCCAGAAAGAAAGAACCAATGGGAGATAGATAGATAGATAGATAGATAGATAGATAGATAGATAGATAAAGAGGATATTCTTTAGGGGAATTGGCTCATGTGATTATGGAGGCTGAGAAGTCCCACAATGTGCTGTCTGTAAGCTGAAGAACTAGGGGAGTCCATAGCAGGACTCAGTCCAGGTCCAATGTCCTCAGACCCAGGGAAGCTGATGAGGTGTAACTCTCAAAATAAGGCCAAAAACCTGAGAAGCTAGGACCTTTGGTACAAGTCTCAGAGTCAGAAGGTAGGAGAATATGGAGTTCTGATGTCCCAGAGCAGGAGAAAAGGCTATCCCAGCTCCAGAAGAGAGAAAAAATTGCCTTTCTTCTGCCTTTTTGTTCTGATTGGCCCCGAGCCAACTGGATATTGCCAGCCAACTTGAGGGCAACCTTCCCCACCCAGTCCACTGACGCACAAGGCAGTCTCCTCCAGAAATACCCTCACAGACACACCCAGAAATAATGCCTTACCAGCTATAGAAGTACCCCTTAACCCAGTCAAGTTGACATGTAACGTTAACCATCACAGTACCCATGAAAACACACAGAGGCCTGAGCTTGCAGGACAGGGCTCTGCCAGGTGAATTGATGTGAGACAGTGTAAAACAATTCTTCACATTCTAGTGACCCCGACCTTGAAAATTTTAAACCTTTCTAGATGTCACGTGGCTCTTGTAGCCCAGCTCTTCTAGGCTGACACCCAATCATCCAGAGTTTAGGCAAAGAGAAAAACGTATGTGTTTGAGGAGATACTCAAAGGCAAATTTTGAGCATAGAAATCATAGAAGGCAAAAAGATTCCCATGAGGATGGCGCTTAGACTACAGAAATATGAGAAAAAGTAAAACAATACACAAATAAGGAATTGTTTCCTAATGGGAATAGAATACGTAGAGAGGAACAAATGCCCTCAATAAAATCAGGGAAAGAGCATATGCACTGATAAGATTTATTTAAAATCTGACTACAAATTCTGTCCATTCTAAGCTTTTAAGTGGTGTATATATTATAAAATGTTACTATACATACACCATAAATTATACACATACAATTGACAATTGGCTTCTTCCTGTGGGAAGGGGTGTGGCAGCTCAGCTCTGCAGCTCAGCAGTTGTCAAGGACAGTGACCTCATTTCCCCAAAGCAGGGCTGGGAGACATGAGATTCTACCCTGGGCTTGAAATGGGTCCCAGGCTCTTCTTCTGTGTGGCCCTTTGTCTCTTGTGGGTAGGTGAGTGCTGGTCACAAGTAGGCTTTGTTCCCAGGAATTTCCATGATCCCTATACAAGCCTTTCTCCTGGGGTGACATCATTGGACTCTGTCACTCTCTATTACAGGACACATGGAAGCTGGAGTCACCCAGAGCCCAGGACACAAGGTTTTAAGAACAGGAAAGGAGGTGACTCTGAGATGTCACCAGACTGACGACCATTACTACATGTACTGGTACCGACAGGATCCTGGGCTGGGGCTGAGGCTGATCCATTACTCAACTGATGCTGGTATCACTGAAAAAGGAGACATCCCTGATGGTTATAGCGTCTCCAGATCAAGTAAAGAGGACTTCCTCCTCATGCTGGAGTCTGCCACCCCCTCACAGACATCTGTGTACTTCTGTGCCAGCAGTTACTCCACAGCGCTGCACGGCCGCCTTCTCTCTGCACATAAAGGGGAGTTAGACACACTGAGGTGGCCCTGTGCTCAGGGGTCCCCGCCCCTCCCTGGGAAGTCCCTGCCTGCATAGGAGTCATAGAGCACTTGCCGGACCAGTGGCCTCAGAGCATGAACAACATGAAGCCCTACAGCCTATATAAGCCTACAGGGTCCTAGACCTCCCTCTTCATTATGTCTCACCTCCTCCTGCATTCCTCTTTCTTTTGCTTATTTTTTTCACAACCACGCCGGCCTTCTGGCCATTCCTCAAATACACCAGGCAGACTTCTCCTGTAGGTCTTTGCTCTGACTGTTCAGTCTGCCTGGAATGTTCTTCTCCAAGGCCTCCTGCTTAAGGCTCCAATCCTGGCCCTTGAACACATCCTGTGGCATGTGATGGTGTCCCCAAGTGTGCTTTCACATTTGGAGATTAGCTGGAAAGACTCATAGGATACGGCATACAGTAGTAGTCATGGCTGAAACATATCAAAGTGACATCATAAATACTCAGCCACAGATCACAGAGGGAAGAGACACAGCTGGAACCTAGAAGAATCCACAGGAAAGTTCCTTTATGCTGTCTTTTCCCTGGAGGGCCACACAGAGCTGACTCTTCCCCAGCAACAAAACCACAGCCACATGTGTGCAGTGTTCTGCCAAAGGAGCCATTAGATACCCAGTGCCCAAGAGGTTTTACTGAGCCAGGTCACATAGGCACCCTCTGCCTAGCACCTACCAAAAATCCAGACCCCAGAAGGAAATCCAGTGTTCATCACAAGCTTGTTTGCACCAACAGCCTAGGCACAAAGATCCACCCTTCTCAGGAAAATCTTTATATCTGAGCAGGGGTCTGTTATCAGCCATGTTCCCAGCTGTCAGCCAAAAGCCAGTGCTGAAAGCAGGACTTTCTAAACACCACAGTCTCAAGCTTGCTGTGTCAATTCTCTACTGCACAGCCCCCCTACAGCTTGCCACTTGATGGACCTGGAAGCTACATGTGTCAGTGGCCTAGCTACAGTATAGAAGCAGCTGGGCTCACAGGGTCATCATTTGGTGGACAACCACTGAAGAAAGCTCCTTGGGCCACACTGGACTTTCTGGTCATGGGAAATAAGATTTCACAGAGTTGAGCCACTGAGATTATGCGATTTGTTTTGTTCTCTTTTCTGTTCCTTGTCTAACAGAATTAGTGTCTAGAATGAGTAAAGAATTCCCATAACTTAATAAGTAAAAGTCAACCCAATAAAACAGAAGTACTTAATCAAAATAGGTAATTCACAGAAGAGGAAAGATGAATTACCACTGCACATGTGGACAGATTCACAAACTTACCTAGAATCAAAGTATTACAAACTGAAACAACGTTATGAGTTCAAACTTCCAAGACTGGAAAATTTTCAAAACATGGATCGTTCTAAATGAGAGTGGAGATATGGACTAGTGGAAACTATCTTTTACTACGAAAGAAAATCAGAACTGTATCAGAAAACTCTTTGTGGGATATATTCTGTCAATTTAAATTATTCATGTATTTAAATCACTTGGGTTCCTTTTGCTGTCTTTTGGGTCGATCATGGAAATTTAGTTGTCAAAACTTATTTTTGCCCTTTTTTAGTTTTTATTTTAATATTTACTTGTACATTTTGGTGCGATAGACTGTGTTGTTTCAATAGAAGCATATATTGCACAATGACTCACCTAGAGTAGACAGCATAGTTTTGTATAAATTAGTGGTAATATATACATAATGTTTGTCAATTTATTTTAAGTGTATAATGCATTAAATATAAGTACATTCAAAATGTTGTGGAACCATCACCGCTATCTACTTTCAAAACAATTTTCATCACCTCGAACAGAAGATCTGAGCCCATTAAGCAATAACTCCCTATTCTCTTTACTCCTCAGCCCCTGGCAACCTCTAATCTACTTTCTGTCTGCATGAATTTGGCTATTCTAGATATATGAACACATATACTGTTCGTATATGTGGAATAATACTATCTTTGTCCTTTCATGTGTGGCTTCTTTCAATTTGCATATGATTTCAAACGCCATCCATTTTTTGGCATGTAGCAGAATTTCACTCCTTCATATGAGAAATAACATTCTACTCAAGGTATCTGCCACATTTTGTTTATCAATTTGCATATGATTTCAAACGCCATCCATTTTTTGGCATGTAGCAGAATTTCACTCCTTCTTATGAGAAATAACATTCTACTCAAGGTATCTGCCACATTTTGTTTATTCACTTATCAGTGATGCACATTTGGGTTGTTTCCTCCTTTTGGCTGTTGGGGATAATGCTGCAATACTCATTGGCCTGCAAGTATTTGTCTGTTTCTCTGTTTTCAATACTTTTGGGTATACATCTAGGAGTAGGAGTGCTGAGTATGGTAATTCTAGGTTTATTTTTCTGGGGAACCACCTAACTGTTTTGCAGTAGCCGAATCCTTTTACATTTCCACCAAGAATGTATGTGAGTTCCAGTTTCACCACAGCCATGCCAACACTCTTTATTTTTAGTGATCTTTTCTTTTTATAATTATTATTATAGCAGTCCTATTAAGTGCAAAGTGATAGCTCATTGTGGTTTTGATTGGCTAATTTTGATTCCCCTAATTACTAATAATGCAAAGCATCTTTTTATGTGCATAATGGCCATATGTATACAGTAGGCCCTCCTTATCCATGTGTTCTATATTGGTGGATTCACTCAATGGTGGAGCAAAAGTATTTGGAAAAAATTGCATCTGCACTGAAATATATACTGACTTTCTTTTCTTCTCATTATTCCATAAACAACACAGTTTGAGTGCAAGTGACACCATGATAAAGACTTTGGCACAAATATATCATGAAGATTAGGATAACTAGTTATTGGACTTCAAACAAAATATAAGCTTCCAACTCTGTGCTCAGGGCATCACTGTATCCCTTAAGCTTGGAGCACGTCGGCTAGTTCAATGTGCCTCCAGGATGAAGCTGTGCCCATCACCCCAGCTTCCACCTGATCTACGCTCATGTGACTGGGAGGATGGAGAACCTGGTAAAAGAGAAATGCCCAAAGAGAAGGATAATTACAGATAAGACAAAGAGGTCAGTAATTGACATCTCAAATCTCAGTTGCCACGATAGAGCTATGAGGGAGAACACTTGTATAAATTACTCAGTTCATGAATGTGGTAAACAAACTACTTGCTATCTTTTAGTTTATATCAGTTGGTTTCTAAGACTGAGCATCTGC